AGTATAATATATGTATATATATATATATGTATATATAATTGTATATATGTATATATATATGTATATATATATATATATAAATATATATATATATATATATATGTATATAGTACTCTACTACTGCATACACCCGCGCAAGTAGTCGTACATATACACATGGGAGGCATCACGACCCGCTCGGCCCACTCACAAAACACACACACCGATGCGCACCAAAAATCGGGGTCGAGGTGCGATAAGTCAGTCAATGATACCAATACGCATAGAGACAGGTACACACACCTGGAATCGAGGGTGAGATACGATATCTCTGAGCAGCGGGATATTGTGCGTTACACCTTTGATGTAATATGTATCCAACGCGTGCTTCATCTTCTCAATGGCTGTGTTACGGTCCTTGCCGTAGGTGATGAGCTTACTGATCATAGGGTCGTAGTAGATGGAGATTTCACTACCCTCCATCACACCTGTATCGACACGCACACTTAAGTCGCCGTCCAGATCTTGGGGGGGGATGTAACCCTCGAGGTTACCAATGCACGGAAGCATTTTGGTGGGATCTTCGGCGTACACTCGACTCTCCATAGCCCACCCTTTGATTCTGAGGTAGTTGAGCGATGGGAAGAGAGTGTGAGCGAAGTGTACTCGCTTATTTGTATGTTCATGCAAAAGTCGGTGATATATACATATATATATATATATATATATATATGCGTGTGTGTGTGTGTGTGCGTGTGTGTGTGTGCGTGTGTGTGTGTGCGTGTGTGTGTGTTAGCATGACTCTACGTACAGCCGTTTGTGTTCACAGACACCAGTACACGTATCAACTATATGTACGAATATACGGTGTTACATTGGGAATTATCGCTACAGGCTACCACACTCGAGTAATTTCACATGCAAACTTAATGACCCATTATAGTTCTAGTAGTTCTATGCACCGCCCATCACTCTATCAAATGCAACTCCTCCGAGTGCTCGTATGTCTATACCTGATGCCCTTATGTGCTGCTCCGTCATCATATCGCGCTGCAGAATACTGCATACTCAGCAAGTGCATATGTAAACTAAATGTCAGTGTGTGCTTTTACTTACTTGATATTGCATATGCAAACTAAGTGATATTGTGTGCTTCTACTTACTTGATATCGCTCTGTTTGTGAATGAGCTTGTGGCCAGCAGCCACCCGGATCATCTGCTCCACCAGATCAACTCCGGTGATGTATTCTGTCACAGGATGCTCCACCTACACAAGGATAAAGCAGTATATGAGAGCGAGTTTGTAGTCTTCATATTAAGTGGGTTGAACAGATGCGTACATACATTTATATGGAATAAATATATAAATATATAAATATATATATTTATTATATATATATATACAAACCAACATGGTAGTTACACCGATACATATATACATATAAACTTTTAAACATATCTACATATACATAGATACTTTACAAAGTTATGTATTATATAGATGTATACAGATACACACACACACACATACATATATATATATATATATATATATAATGCATATTTATATATAGTAGATATACTACATAAGTGCGATTAGACTAATCCAGTGCGCCTGCACTCGGGTGAGAGTAGCAACTGGTTAATTCGCTTATCACACCCTGGGCAATTACAATAAACCCGCATGCAACTTACTTCGAAGCAGCACAGGGGACATTCGACACACAAACTCAGCTCACATGCCAACTCAACCGTACGTGTCGTATATCCCATACACACACATTCGCGGGTACACAGGTGCATGTACATACACATATACATAGCGGTACAAGCACACACGCATTCCCATGCCCATAAACAGATCTATACCATATACTTGTACTGTCATATACTTCGCTCGTGTCTCCCTAGCCCAGCACACCCACAGTCCCAATGTGTAACAAGTCTAACGAGACCACACCAAGTGTCGCAGTACGACAACACATGTACCTGCAGACGCGTGTTCATTTCCAAGAAGTAGAAGTTCTTCTCTGAGTCCACCAAGAACTCCACTGTACCCGCACTGTTGTACTTTACATGGTCGCACAGTAGTACGGCCTGGGCTCCCATTTTTTGGCGAGTTTCCTGCTCGGTTGCGAAAAAAGTAAGGAAATACGAACTCAGTTTTATTGCGGCTATGTTTGGTATTCCAATATATATA